CTGTGTCTGTGTGTCCCTGGATGTGTGTGTCCGGGCGGGGTGTCCCTGTGTCTGTGTGTCCCCGGCTGTGTGTGTCCCCGGCTGTGTGTGTCCCAGGCTGTGTGTACATGTGTCTGTGTGTGTCCGGGGGGGTGTGTCCCTGTGTGTGTGTGTCCGGGCGGGGTGTCCCTGTGTCTGTGTGTCCCTGGCTGTGTGTGTGGCTGTGTCTGTGGGTGTCCGGGGCGGTGTGTCCCAGGCTGTGTGTGTGTCCGGGCGGGGTGTCCCTGTGTCTGTGTGTCCCTGGCTGTGTGTGAGGTCGTGTCTGTGGGTGTCCGGGGCGGTGTGTACCTGGTTGTGTGTGTCCCCTGGTTGTGTGTGTCCGGGCAGGGTGTCCCTGTGTCTGTGTGTCCCCGGCTGTGTGTGTCCCTGGTTGTGTGTGTCCCCGGCTGTGTGTGTCCCTGGCTTTGTGTGTCCCAGGCTGTGTGTGTAGGTGTGTCTGTGGGTGTCCGGGGCGGTGTGTACCTGGTTGTGTGTGTCCCTGGTTGTGTGTGTTCGGGCAGGGTGTCCCTGTGTCTGTGTGTCCCCGGCTGTGTGTGTCCCTGGTTGTGTGTGTCCCCGGCTGTGTGTGTCCCTGGTTGTGTGTGTCCCTGGTTGTGTGTGTTCGGGCAGGGTGTCCCTGTGTCTGTGTGTCCCCGGCTGTGTGTGTGTCTGGGGCGGTGTGGTGTGTCCCTGGCTGTGTGTGTCCCCGGCTGTGTGTGTACCAGGCTGTGCTTGTCCCGGGCGGCCCGCACCTGGCTGCATGTCCGGGGCGGGACCTGGCGGCGGGTGAGCCCGGCCCGGCCCCGGCGCGCCAGGGGTTAAAGGCGCGGCCCCGCCCCCGCCGTGGCCCCGGATCGCGGCACTTCGCTCCCAGGCTCCGGCGGGTCGGTCTCGCGTGGGGGGGGCTCGCCGCGTCCCCCCGGCTCCAGGTGAGTCCTGCCCCCAGCCGCTGTGCCCGGGGGGATCAGCCCCCCAGAGACCCTGAGAAGGGGGCAAAGGGAAACCCCCCCCCAGCCCCCCCACGAGAACCCCCCGGGGGTCGGAGCCGCGAACTCGCGTGTTTTCGGCTCCTGGAACAAAGTTAGGGTGTTGGGGGGCGGGGCTGATCTCAGTTCCCCCGGGATCACTCCGGAGTCACTCCGGATTGCAATGGGGGCGGCTGCTGATCTCCGCTGCCCAGCACCGAACTCCCCCTCCCCCCTTTCCCCCCCAAAACTATCAAACACAGAGCCCTCTCAGCTGAGAGCCCGGACGCCTGGGTTCTCTCCCGGCTCTGGGAGGGGAGCGGGGGCTGGTGGTTAGAGCAGGGGGGGCTGGGAGCCCGGACTCCTGGGTTCTCTCCCCGCTCTGGGAGGGGAGTGGGGGCTGGTGGTTAGAGCAGGGGGGGCTGGGAGCCCGGACTCCTGGGTTCTCTCCCTGCTCTGGGAGGGGAGTGGGGGCTGGTGGTT